TTTATTAATATACAACGCTGGTTAATTGGTTCCTTATGCAGCCACTCGGCCTGAGCAGGAGGCAGCCCCTCGTCCCTGCACTAATGGCACCTCTGGTTTTAGGAGTCATCTTTGTCCCACTTTAGAAATTATAGTCATAATATTTCATTACTGCTGTCTGATTTGGGATTCTACCAGCTGATTTCACTCAGTTGATTAGAGATGGCACTTTGGATGCGGATGCTCCACCATCCTCATTCCATGAATGGTATTTAAAAGAAATATCAGAGAATGGTAAGTTAGGATGACATTAAGCACTAACAAACTAGCAATCACATTATAAAAATGCTGTCAGCCTCGCTGTATATGCTTAAAAGCGATGTTTAGTTAACTAACCTAGCATTAGCTTACCTGCACCCTGAAAGCTGTAACATTATTCTCTGTAACTTCACATCCTTCAACACCGATGCCATGTCAACTACGTTTTGCTTGTTTTACGTTAAGTTGATCAAGCCAGCGGTGGAAAAAATAGGAAATAAAAACTCAAAAGGCATCATCCATCAACTTATTCCGCAACGATCAAGCAGCCAGGAGAGTGATCTCTCTCTTCATCTAATAATCCAAAGAGTGTCTTCCTTTTCTTTCTAATTATCCATAGAGAAAGTTCATATATGTATGCAATTTCAGTAGTATCCCAATGTATTTACTGACATGTAAATGCAGATATTGTAACCTGCCCCAACATCAAATGCATGTAACAGGATATACTGAGGTAGATAACGCAATAACTTGTGAAGCCTGGCTGTGAATGTGCGGTTTGTGTATTTACAGTTTTTAAATTGTGATTAATTTTGACTGTTTTCTTAGCGTTTAATTTCTTTTAGACTAGTCGACTACTCTAAATTTAAATTCTCGTTTAATTGACGGTAAAGTTATTTGCCAGGAACATCCCTAGTAATAATTCTCTGTCGGTTTGTCTCTATGAGTGACATGTAGTCCATTGTTAATATGAAAATATTAATTATAGTAAGTAAGCACACACAAGTCTTTAATGTCAGTGTCAGGAAAACACATTTCTACAAACTCATCAGAATTGTGTATAAATGTTAAACAATATGAATGTATTCAGCCCCTTCAAATCACTAAATAAATGCAATTAAAGCCTCCAGTATGTCTGAATAGGTCTGTATCAGCTTTGAAAATCTGGACATTAAAATGTTCCCCTTTGTTCTCTGCAAAACTTCTTAAGCTTCGAGAAGCTGCATTTGGATTGAGGTCTGCACTGTGACTTGGCCACTGCATGAAATTAACATTGTTGTTTTGAAGCCATTCCTGTGCAGTGTTGGCTTTACGTCTGAGGTCACTGTCATGCCGGAAAATTAATATTCTCCCAAGATGCATTACTCTTACAGACTACAGCAGATTTTCCACCAGGCTTGCATCCATTTTACAGCCATCCAATGTGTCAGTGTCCATTGAGTGGAGCATCTAACTCTGATTCACTGTGTTTATGGTGTGTTTTTGCCAAACTCTTGACTCTGCAGCCATGTGACAGCTGTGACACTACCAGGTGGTGTCTGGTAGACAGTTTACGTTAGACGCTGACTTGTACTCTACTCCCAGCCTGCTAGGAAAATATCTGTACTTCCAAGCCTCACAGAGACGAATGATACAAAGATGTACAATGAGTTTCAGAAAACCTCAAACATCTTACTAGACTTACGACTAGACAACATTATAATGGATAAGAACAGAACAGACCAGTAAACAAAAGACTACAGACAAGAACAGGGAAGTAGATCTACTGTATCTTTGCTCTGTATGATTCTGAATTACATTTCAAGTAACATACACACTGACAGAGAGAAGTTAGGTAAGTGAACCCAGTTTCCCTGAGCCTGACTTGATCTCCCATGGCTTATTGGATTAACTGCGGTGTGTGTGTGCATGTTTATGTGTGTCCTGGTGTGCATCTGCTTGTGAATGCCTGTGTTGAGTGTGTGTTCAGCATGACTTACTTACTATTTTTACTTAAATGTAGAAGTGCATACGTGTGATCCACTTAGATTGGCTGATAGTGAATAGGTGTTGGGTCACTTAAAGTGTCTGCATATCTCACTCTGCCTTTCTTTGCGTGTGTCTGCATGTGTGCGTACGTATATTGACGAGCCAAAAAAAGTGTTAATGGAGAGATACGATGAGAGAGAAGAGGGTGTACCTGACAAAATGTAGTACAAGGTTGTCAGACAATTCAGAAATATAACAGAATACATTAATAGATAATAGTTAATTAAATGAAGTGTAGTGGAAAAAGAAATAAAAAAATAAGTTGTATACTTTTACTTTAACATGTTTAACAACATGCAGTAGCTAGCAGCACGTTTTTCATAAAACTGTGTCTAATGTTAATCCTCCATACACACCCATATAATTTTATAAACTCCTGTAATAGTAGCTTACTATGCCTTGCAATATTTTGTACGCCATTTTATTTCAGTTTCTGAATTCTGAGTGTGTAAATGTATTCACTAAATCCACAATGGAACAATACAAGGAATGTCAGTGGCATGTACATAAGGCTGCTTTGGATGACATTGGGATGTTACTACCTCTGTGATTATGTGTTAAAACCATTATATTTACAATATATATGTGTTATAGAATTTACAAACCCTAAACAATACTGCACATGTTTTGAGCCCTGACCCACTGCTCTCTGAATCAAGGAACAACTAGGCCATGACCCTGATTGGCATTTTGACAATGAGTTCAACCTGAATACCTCTCGTACCTCTTCACTCACGCATATGTAAGTTTACACTATAGACTTAAGCCTCCTGAGTAGCAATTAACAGCTGCCAGCATGGCTAACAATCCCTTTAACCAAAGCCTAATGAAAGCCCTAGCACCTCTTAAGTGTCTCTCCAACCGTGTAACAAGCTCTCTTCATTATGAGACAGCCATGGCCACATAACACCACGCTAATTATATAAGGGCTGTGGGGGGGTTCGTGGCATTGGTAACTGCGTTTGTCAATGCATCGGGACGGTGTTGGTCAATTATAAAAAAATGTCTTTGTGTCAACATTTTTCATCACTATTAGGATGGTCATTCCTATATGTCTACAGCCAGCCTATATGCAGTAATTATTATTTTTCTTCCATCACAAGACTTCTATCAGTGGCTTTAATCTAAAAATACCTATTAGTTGCTGCATTGGAAAACCCTTATCAGTCCACCTGCAGGCAACACATGGCCTTCTGACTGTGAACAACGACACGCAAACAAAGGATGTTGTCTCTGTGTTGTTGATACTCTTTAAACACCAGCGTCTGGTATGAGACCTCAAACACTGCAAGCATCGCAATATGATCTGTTATCAACTCAAACCACAGATGAAGAAGACATTCTTTTGCTTTAAATCAGACTGGAAATCTTCCACAGGCAAAAGATTATCATAACTTAGCATTTCTTGTTCAAAGTGTGTGTCTTTCTCACACTCTTTTCCTTGAAAACATCTTGTAATAATTTAGAGAGGTTGGGGTCTCTTGGGGACACAGGAAGGGCCTGCTCTGAATCTAAATAAGGAGGGTGGGGTAAAGCACTGCAGTATGGCAGGAAATCAACAGGACGTGGAACACCAACGCTACATCACTTTCTCTCTTTGGATCTCTCATTGTTGTCTCTTTCTCTCCATCTTCCTGTCTTTCTCTCCCTGCACATTGTTACCTTGACATTCCTGTATCCTTTCCCTTTTCAGACCCAGAGATTTCTATCTCACATCATCATCTGATCCGGAGCCTCATGTGAAGTGCCTACTGCAGCTTCTGTCTTGCCTCTCTGTTTTGTACAGTTGTAGATGGCGCTCTCTTTGACATACTAATCTGATTAATGCTAATCAGATTGCAGCTAATGCTATTAAATGGTCTCTTAAGGGAATATCTATCATTGCTGTTTGTGTTTGAGGTAGGTTTAGACTGATATATTGGTTTGTGGATTTGTCAAGCTGAGACGTCACCTTTGATATGATTAGGGTTGGAGTTCAATTGCATCTGATCAAATCTGAATCAAGTGTCACATCTGCTCATTTGATCAAAATCCTTTTGAATCCCTTACAAAATCCATTTAGGTGCAGTTAAAACACCTAAAACTCAATGATTCAGTTGACATGTCCAATCACATTTTGTTAACCGAGAAGCTAGAAACAGTACAGTTTTGAATGGTAGCCTAATTAATATTCATAACATGTAGCTAAAACCTCAAAATTAGATAAAGTATGATATGTACTGCTGATCAAAGTTTAACTGGAATATTCTGACTACTGAAACTGATGTGCTAGATCATTTCATTTTAATTCATTCATTTCATTTGGTTCAAATAGTCACAAATTCACTCCAGGCGGTGCCAACTCAGGCAAAGTACAAATTGAAAAAATTATGCTTGTGCTAAGAATGAATGAACTTTATTAGAGAGACAAGATGAAAAAGGAGAGAAACTGGAAGAAAAATAACAGAATGGAGTTCCTGGTGAGTTCTTAAATCACCCAGAATTCTCAGACATAAAGTCACACAGTGGTGCTCAGAAATGGCTGGTGCATACATTGCTCGCTACCTTACAGATAACATCCGTACAGTATGGTATATTGGGCGTATGAATGTCGCTCGCTAGCTTACAGCCATGTGCGTAAATGGATGGATGAAAGAGTGGATTGTAGCTGCTATGTTATAAGCCACATAATCAGAACCATTATTATTGAGATGAGATAAAACGGTCAGGTGATACTGAAAAACTGGTTACAGCGAGAATTATAAGTTATATTTAACAAAGTGAAATGTAAATAATATAATCATATCACTAACATAATAAGAAAAAAATATATTTTAATATAGGAGTGAGTATGTCATGTAATAAGGAAGAATTAGGATTTTTGTTATTTTATATTAATTTTAACTATTAAATATGTTCGGAATTACTGTTTGCTCCTAATAACACTGTATACACAAAAAGGACAAAAATATAAATGAGGTGGGATGACAACCTTTATTCTGGGCAATAAATGGGTAAAAAGATTTTTTTCAAAATGTATTTGTCTTTTCTTATTAAATGTAACATTTGTCAATGTTTATTCAAACTGCATCAGTACTTTCAACCCACATCATTTAAGCACAAAAGGTCAAAATCCTATTTAACATCACCATCATCACTTAAAATAAAAAATGCAATCGGATGTAAAGGCAGCTTGTCATTGAAATAAGTGGGGACACACTGGAGAAATGTCACACAGCTCTGTGTCTCACTATACAGTATCAACCTTGCAGTTATGTTTCCGTGTGTGTACGTGTCTATGCATATGTGTGTGTTTCACTCAATTGTTGTCCACCAGTGGTAGTCATAACAGGAGGAAATGGTCACCCACTCTCCCCAAGCCTTTTCCTTCTGTGCTTTTCTAAACAAACCAAGAAGAGGAAGTCCCCTCCACTGAGGAAAATAAGAGACAACATGTTTATTTGCATGTCTGTGTGTGTATGTGTGTGTGTGCTTGGGCTCATGTCGTAATGCTGTCTCCTGTCCCTTTCCCTTATATGTCTGCCTGGATATGTCCTCGTGTGTTCACATGTGTGTATGTCTGTGCATGTATGTTTTCTATGTGTGTAATGCAAAGAGACAGCTCAATCTGCTCCCTCTAATCACAGGGATACTGCAGCCCCGGAAAAAGACACATCCTATTTCCTGTGACATGGCTGTAACTTCCTGTCGGCCAGTTTTCATGGACGCTGTCCCAGTCACCCTCTTGATTAACTCTGTGTGTGTGTGTGTGTGTGTGTGTGTGTGTGTGTGTGTGTGTGTGTGTTTGTGTGTGTTAGAGTTCATAGGCCCGCTGGTTGCTTTGCTGCCTCTGCACTGACAAGTTGATTACCAAGACAAGACTTGAGATAGTATCTGCATCCTATCAGAAAGGAGACTGAGAGCTATGTGTGGATTTATCGTAATGAAGACCAAATGTTCTGACGATGATGGAAAGATGTGTGTAGTGGGTGCATTTGGTCAGACATTTAAACAGGACTAGTTTAGGGTTAAAAGACCAGTGTGTATGGTCTAGTGGCATGTAGAGGTGTGGTTGCTATATAAACGTGAAAGGCCCTATCTAGAGCCAGTGTTTGGTTTGTCCAGTCTGGGCTACTGTAGAAACATGGCTGTTGAAAATGGCGGACTCTGTAGAAGAGGACCTGCTCCTTCTGTAGATAAAAAGGGCTCATTCTAAGGTTTTTCTGGTGATTATAATGAAATTATGCCTATGAATATTATATTCCATTTCTGCCAATAGATCCTTCTAAATGTTACACACTGGACCTTTAAGGTGTGGATTTGCAATTAAGATTGGATGCGAGTTATGTGAAGCATTTTGGCATGAATAACTAACTAATACAATGTATATGTATAAATGCAAGCATGTGTCTTATTTGACAATGATGTGAAGCACTATTTTTATTATTATTATTATTATTATTATTATTATTATTATTATTATGCCATTTCAGGACAGCAAGCTAAACCCCATAACAAGTAAAAAAGAAAATTACACATATGTTTGACATATTATTGCATTTGATATAGCTAACATTTGCTTCCATCTCGTTTCTATTGACCCGACAAACAATATTACACATGAAATAATGCATACAAAATGCAAATACAAAATATGTATTAGTGTAGATTTAAGGTTATTGCAAATAGTAAATCTTCGGTTTATTATAAAATTGAAAAATATTACTTTCATCCTGGGATTTAGTTTCCCAGTTTTTTCCCATCATTATGGCTGTGCTGAAAATGTCATCCCTCCCTTTCCATAGTTTTAGTTTTCCACAACACTAATTACCAAACCGCAACAGAAGAACTGTTTAAACCAAAACTTATTTAAAACTCATCTTTCAGCACAGGAACATCCACACTGCGATGCGACCTGCCAACACCAAACTCTGAATCATGGAGCCTGAAGCTGGTGCAAATTAATAGCAATATTTTTTTGGGATGGATTGACTTGTTGCTAGGTGATCTGTACATTGTGTCACAAAATTGTAGAGCAAGAATCCACCAGTGGCAGTCCAAAGAATTGAAAATCATTGCCTGGGATCCAATCAACCTTGCTGTGAAGGTGTGTAAAACTCCTCTAGCAAATGAAAAAATGTTAACGTAATTATTATTGATCAAAAAAATGAACAAAATACAGCCCAGGTTGAAATTATTATTAAATGGAATTCATCCTTCAGAGTCTAGTTATGGTGTGCATTAAAAATAAAAGCTTTGAATGTAGGGACCTCACTACTCGGTGTTCAGTCATAACGTTGTGTGTGTGTGTGTGTGTGTGTGTGTGTGTGTGCATGATTCCTTCATGTATTTCTTCTTTTGTCCGAAGCAGAGGCTCCCCTGGGGTTTAAAATACCTTGGCAGCAGCATTTTTAGTTTATCTCTCTACCTCCCTCTGTGCACAACCATCCCCATCTCCCTCACCCCCCTCCCTCTTTAAGCACATCTCCACCTTGTTATCACCCCGCAAACCCAAAAAGCTGCATCGCCATGGTGACAGCCTCCCCGTCGGAGACAGAAATGTGTGATTTGGGGGTGCCATAGCCATTTTCAAGGCTGGTGGAGACGCCGTTGTTCACTACACCCCCTCTGAGTCCTGCCATCATTATCACAGTGTGCCCTTTACGACCGTGCATATATGATGTATGTTCCCATTCATTAAAGTGAGAGGCTGAACTCTGAATCAACACACTTAATAAGCAGTTAAGCGTTAATGAAGACTATCAAAGAACTTTACAGTGGCTGTTTTTACTGTAAAAATATCAGAATTCTGATTTGCATCCATAGTACTGTCCAGATGTGTCAGAAGATTTTGTTTGTACATTAAAATGACATGAAATATCACATCGCAAAAGCGGGAAATAATTTCAATGGAGTGAGAGTATAACCAGTTTTTATGGTATATTTTAAATAAAAAAACACACAAAAAAATGTACTACTGAAGTTCTCACATGTGAGATGAACCTAAAAGAAATGCTATAAGTTTGTTGGTGGCACAGTCGTTTCTCTTAGAGCAAAAATGTTCAAAAAAATCAATCGCATATTGATCCTGGTTTGAGTCCTGGTCCTTCCTCTGTGGAGTGTGCTGTACTCCCTATGGGTGGTACTCTGGGTGCTCCTGTTTCCTCCCGCAGTCCAGAGACATGCCGGTGTGGTTAAGTGGAAACTCTGTTGCCTGTAGGTGTGGGAATGAATGTGTTTCTCACCTGTGTGTTAGCTCTGTGATGGAGTGGCAACTTGTTTGAAGTGTACCAGTGTCCTCTCACACAGTGCATGCTGGGATAATCATAAGCTCCCTCTGACCCTGAAGGAGGTATAGAAAATGGGATCCTCTGTGAAAGGTTGGAAAAAATACACCATTGACAACAGCAATGATCTCATATTAAAGATCCCATAATCGTAAAACAGAAACCTGAGGACTGAGGATTACCACATTAAACATCAATTGTGATGTTATGATTAGCATTTTTGTTACCAACACTGGAGCAACTGTCCCTCAGGCAAGGTTTGTGCTCTTGTGTGTCATCATTTATTCAAAATAAACTTGCCTCAAAAAGTCCAGTGTGAAATTGCAAACACTTTGGTTTAAACTGTGCAAGGAAATAGACAAAATGACAGAAAATGTTCTTTCAGTTACATCTTTAAAGCACATTTGTGTCATTTTCAACCTAGCTGTTATCCATTCTGAATATAGGCTGCGCTAACATTGCACTCGCCACCTCAGTTGTAGAGATTTGGGAGACGAAGACTCTGGAAAAATAACGTGTATCTGTAGACAGTGTGAGCCTCCATAAGCTTTCCAGATGAACTTGGATTAGCTAGCTAAATTCTAGTTCTGGGGCAGCTTCCATGCTAACTAAACCAGCTACGTATTCATCCACAGAAATAACACATAACACATTTAATATTATTGTTTCATCTGTAGCATGAAGGCTAAAACATACGGCAGCCGCAGGGCTGTGGCGTGTTGAGCGCTGCCCCTAGCACAGATAGGAAGTGCAACGCAGCAGCACATCGGTCTCCTGAAGCCTGTCAGCCTTATGGTAACAGCAGATTTATTCCACATCTGCAGTATTACTACCCAATGCTGGTACACATTTACAAGACGTTGGTATAGATTTAGATTTCACACATCACTATTTAGAGTCACCTGAAGGGTCAATCCATTATCAGGGTTGGCTACATTAGCTACAATAGCTGATGTAGTGGGCTTCTACTATTATAGTTATTTACTTTTGGTCGGACTGAGAGAGCATTAGAAATTATGTGCATCTTTGTCCTGATAAACATTGTTTTGCCAGAACAAGAAGTTTATTTGGTTAGCTCACAAGTTGCCCTGGGTGTAGTTTCCTATATAGTTTCTATTTACTTTTGGTCGCACTGAGAAACAGGCATTTGAAATGTTTATTTTAAGCTTTAGGTGGCTTGTGCTGCTTGCCCCAATATACATTGTTCTGCCAGTTAAAGGACCAGTGTGGAGGATTAGGCATCGAGTGGTGACATTGCACATTAGAAAAAAACTGAAATCCCTTTACCAACCAAGCACAATGGAGAAATTATAGTGGGAAAATGCGAAAGACCGTATCCAGAGCCAGTGTTTGGTTGTTCGTTCTGGGCAACTGAAGAAACATGATGGTTCCACATGGCGGACTCTGGAGGAGTAGAGCACCCACTTCATCTGTAGATTAAAAAAACAAAACACAATTCTCATGTTTATATATTACACTTATGAAAACCTAGTTATGAATATGATATTATATTTCCACCAATAGATCTTACTAAAAGTTACACACTGGACCTTTAATAGGCAGGTAGTTGGTAAGCTGGCAAGTTTCCCCAGAAGTTGCTCTATGCAGTTAGCTTCAACAGCTGGCAATCTGGCAGGCTTGGTCAGACTCATAGACAAGCATTTGAGAAAGGAGTTAGTTTAGTATTCCTGTCCGTCCTGTCTGAACCAGAGGCCTGTCTGGCTATTTTTCAATCAATGACACAAAATAACTGCAATCAACAACCTTACAGATTAACAGAAAATTAGCAGTGCTCATATGGGTCCTGAGCATCTGATCAGAACCACTACTCAGCTCTGATGGGAGTGATGGATCGCTCACTGTCAGTCTCGTGTGGTTGTTGAGGCACTTAAGAACAAGACTGAGGCAGCATTTTACTCTTTTTTTGACTGCTGGTTTATATGGGGGCTTACAAACACCATCTGCCCACAGCCCAGCCAACACACTCTGTATATATGAATAGTCAACGTCAATTAACTTGTTTCTCAAGTGTTCTCACTAGCAATGAGATGTTCGGAAATCACACTACCTCTCCCAGGAAGTGTGTGCGTGTGTGTGTTTGTGCATCTGTGTACTGTATGCATGTGGGTAGAGGAGATCTTAATTAAAGCTGCTTAATATGCATATGGATAGGCTTTTTTAGGGGTGAAAACAAATTTGTGGGGAACATATGGTGCCCCAGACATGACACACACCCACGTAATACACAGACACTTGCAGACACACTCAAACACTTTCGATCTTCAAAGTGAGATACCCACACACGCACATACTGGCACGCCTGGGCCCCTGCAGAAACTGGAGTGATGGATTCTGGCTGATTGTGTGTAAGTGTTGGAATATCATTAATCCTTTTTTTTGCCATTTGTTAAGGTGTGTGTGCATGCACCCCTGAGTGTGTGTTTGTGAGAGATTATTTCAGGCAGATGGAGGGAGCCGTGGCCCCTTCTGCAGGGTCAACGGGGAGAAGTTAACCAGCACAGATTGTTGCCACCCCTCCTCTCCTCTCCTTTCCCCCTATCTCTCCTCTTTTCATCCCTCCAAATCGGACTCAACGCCCACCTCCACCCTATCATCACACCCTTTTCTTCTCTGTTTATCTCCTTATTTCTTATGTCTTGTTTAACAAAGACAAACGTAGAAAATGGAGCAAAGGAAATAAAGAAAAAGTGAGAGAGAAAGGGAAGATATCCAGTATTTTTATGAGAGGTGTTTTGAATAATGTAAAAAATAAAGTATTTTCAAAAAACCTGACAGCACACAAAGAAGATTCATGCAATTTTACTTTGGTTCAAACACTGACCTGTGAAAATATGCAGTTTTTCACTGGGTCCTTGAGCATTTTTCTTTACCTGGACTAATCTTTAGAAAGAGAACAAAATATTCAAAATTCAGGTAATGAGTATTTCCCACTTGTTGAATTTAATTCAGTACTTTGGAATGGAACTCAACAAAGTGGAAACATACTGTAAGTAAAGGTAAAAGAGATATAACAGAGGTTTTGATCCAAAACATTACCAGCAGCTTTAGAAAACCACACTTATCTGTAACAAATTAAAATTCTGCTACTTGACAAAAAGGATAAAAAGAGACTGGATCCTGTTCAATGACAATGAATCAAGAAATAGTCAAATAAGGTTTATGAAAAGACCTCTCTCTCCTAGTAGAGGTATGAGGTGGGAGTATTCACTGCTGAGAAACATGTGCATGCTGCTGAAGATATACACTTTCTTGAACAATATTATGAATATGTGTAGAGCTTACAGTAGAGTATAGTGCCCAAATGCCTAAGGCTAAATGGTTGGAATCCATACACTTACGGTCTTAAAACATCCACGGGCCTTATCGCTCCAGTCCATACAGTATGTCTTAGCATGTGTGTGTTTACACCACTCCACCTACATGTTCCAACCTGAGACGTCCAGAGACAGAGGAAGCCATGCAGGGGATTAGGAATCGGTATTCCCGAATCCCAGACGCTGGGTTCCTACCTCACACAGCAGGCAGCGTTAGCCTCCTGGTGAGCCATGCCTTGGAATCCTGGAACAATACTAGTCAAGGCGATGCCTAAAGGGAAAGGGTTCTTGCAGCGCTGTTTCTCTGATCCACACCCCAGAAAGATTGCTTCCAAAAGTCCAGAGCAAAAAACTGGAGAGGGTTTGTGTTTACAAAGGATTGCATTTCAGAAACCAGTGTTTAGAGTCGAGCCTGCTCGCTGTCACGTCGATTTAACTTCCGTGCCCACACACGCAGAAAATCATCCATCCGCCCACAAAGGTGAATATATATATACTTGAGCTTAGAGAAACACGCCACAATTATCGCCGCCATTGCAAACAAGAACAACAAGTGCAACTATTCTCCTTTTCCTTCTTTCTCTCTCCTTTTACTTTCCTTTCCCGCCTCCTACTTACTTCCTGTTGTTTCTCCAGCTGTAGGGAAAGGACTGAAAACAGCGATAGCTGGTTTTCTCCCCCTGGACTGCTAGTGATCACAAACAGAGTGGAGCTTCGGAGAAGTGATAGGCAGGGTGATGAGCCACAGACACTAATGCTATTACAATAACAACATACTTCCCTGGTCAGTCGATACTCGCCAATACCTGGTGAGGAAAAAAAGACCGAAAAAATCTGGAAACTAGTGGGCCAGAGGTGATACGGTAATGAGGTCACAACCTCATACATATTGTACATTTGTTAGTCTGACAGTTGCTCTGAAATTTCCAGCAATTTACTTCCAGTATTTCAGTGACCCTGTGTGAACTTGTTTGCCCTACAGCTTATCTGCAGCTCCTGGGGGTTAAGATGAAGTTTGACAGCATCTCCTTTTTTTTGTTTTTTTGGCCATGAGAAGGTATAAGCCAAAGCCTGGATGGTGTTTTATGAGAATCATTGATTGGGAGGCACGCATTGATAAGCTGAGGCGAGGCAGCGTTGTGAATGAAGCAGGATATAGTGGTGACCCAGGGGGAATCACAACATACTCTAGCCTGATCTCTTGCAAAGCTGCTTGGAACCCGATGCTGTCCGCCCTGATAAATGTACTCTCTCCCCCTCTCTCTCTTCTTCTGCCTCTCCGACTCCTCTGTGCACTCCCTCATTCTGTTTTCTGGGCCCAATGAATGCAGAGCGAATCAATAAATCTATTCCCCTGCTGGATACCTGATAAAATTTACAAGGACAAGCTTAATAAATTACTAATGGGGTGGCCAATTAGTTTGTGGGCTTGCCTGTGCTGGAGTGCGTGCGTGCATGCGTGTGTGTGTGTGTGTGTGTGTGTGTGTGTGTGTGTGTGTGTGTGTGTGTGTGTGTGTGTGTGTGTGCGTGCTTGTGCGTGCTTGTGCGTGTGTGTTTGTCGGTGCCTGCATCTGAGTTTATATTCCTGCCTGGTCATTTGTATGCATGTGTGTGTGTGTGTGTGTGTGTGTGTGTGTGTGTGTGTGTGTGTGTGTGTGTGTGTGTGTGAGTGGGTCCTTTGCTAACTCCCCAGTTTTTTCATGAAAACATAACAAGGTTGACAGTAAGCCGGCAGTGGCCACCTTTGCCAAGACACCCTCTTTCAGGCTACATCCTCACTCATAACCTTAGTTATTGTGCTCATTGAGCCATGCTTTGTCAGTTTTTCTTATGTGAAATTAAGCTATAAGAGTACAGAGCTCAGAGATTACAGGGTAATGGTTGGAATTCTTTTTCTGAAATTCTTTTGCGATATTTTGTGTTACCTCTGATCCATAGAGAGTGACTGAGCTGTGTTACAATATAGTTTTATGTATTATGTAGTAGAGAATTGCTGCGTGTAGGCACACCCTCAGCTGTGGCTGGCTCAGTATCACTGCAGCTAAATAGAAAACTAGCGGAGCTCTTTCACGACTGCTGAGGCTGGACTGATTGAAAGGCTATGATTGTGGCTTTACTCTGGTTCTTATGATTATGACTCAGACACATTGGTTATAAATAGGAATGTAACAGTATTTCGTGAGACAGTCAAATCGCAATACAAAATTATATTTTTGACTTTGCTTGTTGGACGTCCTACGTCACTCATGTGAGTGGCTTGATTGTGGATGCACGGAACTGTGGCACCCATCTCAGAAATAAAAAGGATTGTTCAATTGGATAAAGAAAATATATTTTCTAGATTTTTTTTTGTGAAATTTGTCTTCAATCTCATTTTGTTTAAGAAATTGTCAGAAAACAGTATCTTGAACCAAGTATCGTGCTGCACCAAATGATGAGTTGAGTGTATCATTACATCCTTAGTTATAAAGGGTGGAAAACACTAAATACGTTTAGGGGTTGTGTGAGTGCAGTGCAATAATATGGTTGTATCGGCTGAGTATTGGCATTGGTAAGACATCTGGCATGTCTACAGCAAGTAGAAATCCCATGTGGCTTCACCAAATGTGAACTTCTCTAACTGTAACATGAAAAAAAAGATGGCTCTTCTTGTCACACACATTCTCGTATTAAAGACAAACAGTACACTAAAATAGAAAGTGTGCAGTATGCCACGCAGTAACGGAATCTTGATTCATATTTGATCAGCACTGCCTAGTTTGACTGATCTAATCTGAGTTTTGTGCACTAAACTTGACTTGTCAATCGCAAAGTACCCATACCCTAAAGCATACACTGCTTTATCGTCTATTTTACTTTAAATGGGACCATCATTTACAATAAGAACCATCATGTTGAATTTAAGCAGACTTCAAACTAACAATTGAGACCATTAACGCATTATAAAATTGTCTACTAAGCTGATAAAGCAAGTGAGAAGTAGGGTTATCCTCCAAAAGGCTCCATACTTTTGGAGTTTTCTTTGCAGCCTATGGAGCTGCCCCCTTCTGGCCACTACATTGAATGCATGTTTTGGACACACCTGAGTTAGCTTCACTTCACTGACCGGGAAGGTCTGTCCAAGAGTTGGTCGCCTGGTTAACATGTAGAAGTGATCAAATTGATATTTTATGTTTGTTCATTTGTCAGATAACAGAAAGCAGCAGGTGGACACAGAACAGAAGGGGACCAGATTCAGTTTTGTTATTTCAGTTTCAGTACAGACAGAAATCTTTATGAAAATGATGTGAATATTCTGGTGGGGATATATTTTGTCATATCACATGATGTGACCAGCTTGGTATGGATATAGTGTCTATTAGTACTCGGATAACTAACCCTGACCCCTTGGGTGACCCCTGGAGATCACAGCTTCTAGAGAGCGATGCACACCTGCACACATGTAGATACACACTGTTGTCCAGAGAAATGCAACGCTGTTTTGGATTTTGTGAAGGAGAGAGAAAGACTGAGAGACACCAGCTCTGTGTCTCTCTTCCATTACCCAGTGCAACATCAATGAATCTTTTGAGGATCGCTATCTTCAAAAGGCAACCCAGCTTTCCTCCCTCAGACAAGACTGTAATTATTCTACATTTGCATGATAAGTGTGTCTGCCTGTGTACGCATTTATGTATGTATGTATGAGTGCTTAAACGCACATTAGCCGCAGTCGGGCACGAGTTCTCGTCTTTTATCTCGGTGTAAAAGACGGGAAGAGGCCTTTTTAATGTGGAGTCTGGATCGCTGTCTCTTTGCTCTTCATCTGAGTGTTCATCATTAGCCACTGTCAGCCAGAGAGCTTTGAAGTGGAGTCAGGGGCTCTCTCACGATGTGGAATAGTTATGACACTTGGGCTCTGTGTTTTTTGTGTGTTTGCGCATGCTTCCGCTTACATTAGAGTATTTTCACATCTGGCAGTCCCTCCTTTTTTTTTGTATGTGAAATCTAGTAAGGGTGTTGCACTGATAAAAGGCTCACCATGATTTAACTTGCATGTACATTACTGTGATGCTACATGCAATAATAAGAGAGGAGTTGTTTTTTGTAAGAAAAATAAAATAAAAACAAGATTTTTTTCTCAAGACAGGAATGTTCTAACAGATCCCCATGCTTCACTGACTCTGGTGATGGGAGGACGCAAGATAGTAATGGAAGAAATCAGGGAAAACACAAACAGGGTAACGGAGTGTGGTGAATGGGCGCCTTGCCTCGTGAGATGTCCTGTACGTACAGTATCTATACGATGCATGGCTTCATGCTCAGATGAACATATACGGAGTCAAGCAGACAGAGAAACGTTTTTAGATGTGTACGATCTCCCAAGGCCTCATTAGCTTCTGAATATGTGTGTGTGCACTGAGGCGTGACTGCATACATAGTGTATGGGCACACAGCAGCCCGTGTAGTCAACACTTGACTGGCCTTAAAGCTCGTCTTGCTGGGCAGTCAGGTGCACCG